GCGGCAGCCGCCGCCGCGGATGAGGCCGGTGCCTTCCCTGGTCCCCCCCCCGCCGCAAACCTCCTTGGTGAAGTTCGTGGGGAACATCTACACCCTCAAATGCCGGTAGGTCACCGCGGGAAAGGGGGATTTCATTCCGTATCCGTAGGGATTCTCATTCCCGGCTGGAAGCGCTGTCTTTTCCCTGCTCCGCGGCGCGGATCCCTCTTTTTTTGGGGGCCGTTCCACCCCCCACCGGCAAAACGGCGATTCCCGAGCTGACGCCGTGTCCTCCGTAGGTTCTGCGAGGTGGAATTCCAAGGTCCCCTCTCCATCCAGGAGGAATGGGTACGGCATCTCCAACGACACATCCTGGAAATGAATTTCTCCAAAGCGGATCCTTTACGGGGCGAAGATCCCCCCCCACCCGAACCCCCCACCCTCGCCGAGGCTCAGTAACGGGAGCCCAAATCCCGGCTCTCACCGTGACGTCAGGGGGTCAGGATGAGGCCGTGTCCTAAAATACGGGGTCACCGGGGTCGGGATGCGGCCTTGACCCCCGGGAATGGGGTCAGGGGGTCAGGATGAGGCCGTGTCCTAAAATACGGGGTCACCGGGGTCGGGATGCGGCCTTGACCCCCGGGAATGGGGTCAGGGGGTCAGGATGAGGCCGTGTCCTAAAATACGGGGTCACCGGGGTCGGGATGCGGCCTTGACCCCCGGGAATGGGGTCAGGGGGTCAGGATGAGGCCGTGTCCTAAAATACGGGGTCACCGGGGTCGGGATGCGGCCTTGACCCCCGGGAATGGGGTCAGGGGGTCAGGATGAGGCCGTGTCCTAAAATACGGGGTCACCGGGGTCGGGATGCGGCCTTGACCCCCGGGAATGGGGTCAGGGGGTCAGGATGAGGCCGTGTCCTAAAATACGGGGTCACCGGGGTCGGGATGCGGCCTTGACCCCCGGGAATGGGGTCAGGGGGTCAGGATGAGGCCGTGTCCTAAAATACGGGGTCACCGGGGTCGGGATGCGGCCTTGACCCCCGGGAATGGGGTCAGGGGGTCAGGATGAGGCCGTGTCCTAAAATACGGGGTCACCGGGGTCGGGATGCGGCCTTGACCCCCGGGAATGGGGTCAGGGGGTCAGGATGAGGCCGTGTCCTAAAATACGGGGTCACCGGGGTCGGGATGCGGCCTTGACCCCCGGGAATGGGGTCAGGGGGTCAGGATGAGGCCGTGTCCTAAAATACGGGGTCACCGGGGTCGGGATGCGGCCTTGACCCCCGGGAATGGGGTCAGGGGGTCAGGATGAGGCCGTGTCCTAAAATACGGGGTCACCGGGGTCGGGATGCGGCCTTGACCCCCGGGAATGGGGTCAGGGGGTCAGGATGAGGCCGTGTCCTAAAATACGGGGTCACCGGGGTCGGGATGCGGCCTTGACCCCCGGGAATGGGGTCAGGGGGTCAGGATGAGGCCGTGTCCTAAAATACGGGGTCACCGGGGTCGGGATGCGGCCTTGACCCCCGGGAATGGGGTCAGGGGGTCAGGATGAGGCCGTGTCCTAAAATACGGGGTCACCGGGGTCGGGATGCGGCCTTGACCCCCGGGAATGGGGTCAGGGGGTCAGGATGAGGCCGTGTCCTAAAATACGGGGTCACCGGGGTCGGGATGCGGCCTTGACCCCCGGGAATGGGGTCAGGGGGTCAGGATGAGGCCGTGTCCTAAAATACGGGGTCACCGGGGTCGGGATGCGGCCTTGACCCCCGGGAATGGGGTCAGGGGGTCAGGATGAGGCCGTGTCCTAAAATACGGGGTCACCGGGGTCGGGATGCGGCCTTGACCCCCGGGAATGGGGTCAGGGGGTCAGGATGAGGCCGTGTCCTAAAATACGGGGTCACCGGGGTCGGGATGCGGCCTTGACCCCCGGGAATGGGGTCAGGGGGTCAGGATGAGGCCGTGTCCTAAAATACGGGGTCACCGGGGTCGGGATGCGGCCTTGACCCCCGGGAATGGGGTCAGGGGGTCAGGATGAGGCCGTGTCCTAAAATACGGGGTCACCGGGGTCGGGATGCGGCCTTGACCCCTGGGAATGGGGTCAGGGGGTCAGGATGAGGCCGTGTCCTAAAATATGGGGTCACCGGGGTCGGGATGCGGCCTTGACCCCCGGGAATGGGGTCAGGGGGTCAGGATGAGGCCTTGACCCCTAGGACATGGGGTCACCGGGGTCAGGATGCGACCTTGACCCCCGGGACAGGGGTCACCGGGGTCAGGCCGAGGCCCTGTCCTGGGAATGGGGACAGTGGGGTCAGGATGAGGCCACGCCCCACGCCCCGTCACAGCCACACCCACGGGGGGAGGACGACACGCGGGGGGCGGAGCCTCGGTGGGCGCCGACAATACCACCAGGCGCCGTGGCGCGGAGGGGCGGGGCGAGGTGCGGACCCGCCCTAGAAGGGGCGGGGCTGGAGGCCCGAGGCGGGTCTGTCGCGCTATTGGCGCAGACGGCGTCGGCCCGCCCCCTAGCTGGCCAATCAGGGGACAGAGTGACAGCGTTCCCGCCTCCTCAC